TGTAGTCCCAGCTACTTGGGAGGCTGAGGCAGGAGGATGTCTTGAGCCTAGGAGTTTGAGACCAGCTTGGGCAGCGTAGTGAGACCCCATCTCTTAAAAAAAAAGTTTTTATTTAGATTAACATCTGTTTAAACTTTATTACTAAACTGGGATTGAGATACAGGCTTTAGGAAGTGTAGATAATAGTACACTCTTGCTAAGTTTTGGATTTTTGGTAATCTTGGATTCTAATTATCTTAATGTAGTTTTTGTGAAATTTTCATCTTTGTAAAATCAGTGTAAATAAATATTCTACTTAGGAAAAAATTAAGGTTTATTGTGCTAAAAATTAGTTAAATGGTGGTTGATCTTTGGTAGACATATTTGATCACCTTTACAAGTCTCTAGTTCAGGTCTCAGGTAAATACTTAAATATTCTTGAATATGTACCACCTATGATATACATAAATTATCCATCTCACTTAATCCAGACAAAAACCATTTAAGGCTCGATATAGTCCAGTTTTACAGCCAAGCAAGTAGTGGAGCCTGAGTTTGAATCCCAAGTCTAGATGACTTCAGAAAGCTTCCAGTTTTACTGCTGTGACTCAGCACTCAGTTGTTCAGTAGAGGGTTCTGTCCATAGATCCGGTGATTTTCAGACTGTGCTATAAGGCTCTGTACAGGTCTTTTTGGAGTTTGACAGACAGTGAGATATCTTTTTTTTTTTTTTTTTTGAGACAGTCTCCCTTTGTTGCCCAGGCTAGAGTAAGTGCCATGTCGTCAGCCTAGCTCACAGCAACCTCAAACTCCTGGGCTCAAGCGATCCTTCTGCCTCAGCTTCCCGAGTAGCTGGGACTACAGGCATGCGCCACCATGCCCGGCTTATTTTTTCTATATATATTAGTTGGCCAATTAATTTCTTTCTATTTATAGTAGAGACGGGGTCTCCCTCTTGCTCAGGCTGGTTTCGAACTCCTGACCTTGAGCAATCTGCCCGCCTGGGCCTCCCAGAGTGGAGATATCTTTTGCTTGAAGATAATCAGCCATCCCCTTTACTTGTTTTATGTGTTTTTGTTTTCTCTCAATTTTGTTTGGAAGAATTTCTCTGCTTAAAATATTTGAAGTTCCCTGCTCTAGAAACCTAAGACCTGTCTTGAATAAGTAGATACTAGAAAATAAAAATAAAGGTAGTAATTATTTATATTGGTATACTGTGCCTGTTTTCAGTTATATTTCTTTGTGTTCCTACTGCTGTTTAATATGGCCTACTATTAAAATGAGGTTGAGGTGGTTGAATACACTATTAAGGTAGGAAAATAATTAGAGTTAAAATTTGCTGCTGAAAGTGTGTATGTAATCTACAATCAATCTACTATGTTGGATTCATTCCTCACTACCAGCTCTTGCTGTGTTTAAAGGCTGCACTAAGTATGATGTAATGACAGGTTATGCTTCTGAATGCACTAGCTGATGCAATGCAAATCTGAGGCCCAGGACTTTATTGGGGCAAGGGTAATGCTTGTTTAAAAGCAAAACAAGCTACTACTCTTAAGTTTAATGAGGCCATTTAAGATGGCTTTCCCAGAGTAGGAAGAGAATATATAGTCTCATAGGAGCTTGAAGTAGGAGTTTCATATGGCTTAAGTGTGTTTCTTACCCTTACTGCAAAGCCTTTTTGCAGGGGGTGGGGGAGTTTACAATGTGGAGCTGAAAAGGATAGAAATGGAGAAGTGAGCTAGAATTGAGGAAATATGGTAGTTTACTCCTGGTAAATAGTTACTGAATGAATTAGGGAGAATGCTTTTACTCTAAAAATTTAGAGTTCGCACGATTAACATGGAGAGTATAATGCACGCACAGAAGAGCACTCATTTTTCAGATTGAAACACAACCTAACTTTAAACTGGAATTGCTGAGGGAGGGCAAGATGTCGTGCGGGTGGGTGAGTCCACAGCCGGGTGGCGCCGGCCACAGCTGCCCTGTCCGGCCTCGAGCTGGCGAGCCGGGGTAGGCGGGGCTTGCGGGCGCGGCCCCGCCCCTCGCGGCCCGGCCCACGAGGCCCCGCCCCGCGCCACGAGGGCCCGCGCGAGGAGGCGGCGGGAGCCGGCGCGGCACAGCTCTCCGAGGGCGGAACCCCGCCGCAGCTCCGGAGCCGGCGCCCTACCCGCCGCGGCCTCGCCTGGTCCGGCAGGGGCCGGCCGGTGCGTCCGTCCGGAGGGTCTGAGCTCAGCCGCGGCCCCGTTTTCGGAGACGCGGCCGAGTTCGAGCTCGCGGGCGGTGCGGCTGCCTCCTGGGACGGAAAGCCTTGGTTCGCCGTCCGGTGGCGTGTGGAGCCGACCCGAGGCGCGAGCGTGCGTGGCGGCGGGTGCCCGCGGGCCTGCCTCGGCCGTCCCGCTGCCGGAGGAGGCGATGCGCCGCCGCCTTCCCGCGCCGGGAGGCCCGGCCCGGCCCTGCGCCTGCAGGGCGCCCTGCGCGCGGGCCGCTGGGGCGGGCGGAGGGAAGGTGCGGGCGCCGGGCGTAAGTCAGTGCGCCCGCCTGGCTCAGGGCATGGTGCGGCGTAGTTGAGTTCCTCGTCTGGTGTGCGCGATGTTTTCATTTGTGCTGCTGCACTTTTCTCTGTTAAATCAAACTTCAGGTTCTGTCGTGACTTCTACAGGGTTGTCCTTGGTGCTTGTGTGGTTGGGATTCCGTTTCTCTTCCAAAATGGACCGGAATTCCACCTTTGGAGATTTTAGAGGTTTTAGCAGTTGCTAGCCAATAGTATCACCATTCACAAGAAACAGCCACATTTCACTTGTTTTTAACACTCTGAATAGGAGTTAAAAATATGCTTTCTACAGAGTTTGAAAAATAAAGATATATTGTAATGTTAGCCTGAACTATTGATAATAAATGTGTAACTATTTTGCTAGGTCAAGAAATTGAACAACAGTGTTTTTCTTGCTCAGTAGGTGTACTATGTTAAATAAAACTGCCCTTTGATGTGATTAGCTGTTTTGGTTTAGTAATTCGAAAGGCATTGGTTTTTTAAAATACTATTTTGGTCTCAAGGAACCCCTTTCTAGTTATGTTGGTCACTTTAAGTGAGCAGTATAAACTGGACTACGAAGCCGCATGCAGCGTACAGACGGTGTTTTGGCAATGCTAACCCGTTGCTTTACAAGTGACCTAAAGCGGCTCATCCTATACACAAAGACTGTACTCAGGGGGAAACTGGATTACAGGTCCTTTTGTCAGGGGACAGAACACCTAGGTTACACAGGGCTTCATATGATGAGAGTTGATTTGTGTTCTTAGAACCCAAATTGCGTTTACTTGGTCATATTTGCAACCAACATTGTTTTTAAAGTTATTTGCAACAGAGAGTAATGGCTACAATTGAGAGAAACTTTAAATTTGAAGCTTTAATTTTGTAGATGTAGCTTAGTATAGTTACTAGAAGTACACTCTTAGGATATCAACAGACTGACTGATCTTTTGTAGCCTCCAAGACAAGTAGTGGCCTGCAGCATCCCAGCAAAGGTAGATTCCTGGGAAAAGGTGCTTGTTTTGTTTATTCAGCCTGACTTGTTAGTTACCTTTATTATTCTGATGAATGTTTCTGCAACACTGGTGAACCTCAGGGTGCAAGGAATTCTTTGCCTGCTGATTCCAGCCCCCTCCCCAATGTTGTACATGTCTCTGCGTTTTTATCTTTATTCTTCTCTTTGCCCCATCTTTCTCACTTTCGTACATTAGATCTGATTTATATTGTAGAATGGAAGTAGAATAGAATGATGTACTTTCTCAAAATACCAGACTAAAAGGTTTTATTTGAGGATTGCCCTCCCATCTTCCCTCACTTTTGAGGTGAGCACTGATCAGTAGAAAACAAGATTAATACTTAACTGATGATAACTTTTTGCAGGGAGACTTGTTAAAAGATGGATGATGGCAGCAGGACTTTCTCCTTGTTACCCTCTCCCCCATGTTCCCAAAATATACCTAGAGCAGCTATTGTTCACTATTAGGAAAAATTAATCCAAGTTGATACTCTCTCACGGTCCATTGGCATTTGAACTACGTTTGTCCATTCGTATCCTTGGGAGATTTGTCCCAGGATCCCCTCCACCACTCAGATATCAAAATCTGAGGATGCTCAAGTCCCTGATGTAAAGTGGCATAGTATTTGCATATAACCTATGAACATCTCCTGTGTACTTTAAATCAGCAGTCCCCAACCTTCTTGGCACCAGAGACCAGTTTCACGGAAGACAGCTTTTCCCATGGATAGGGGTGGGGTGCGGGTGTAGAGGTCAGGTGGTGATGTGCAGCCTGGTACGGGGTTGTAGCCTGGGGATTGGGGACGGCAGCTGTAGATCATCTCTAGATTACTTATAATAACCTAATACTACGTAAATGCTATGCAAACAGTTGTTATACTGTATTACTTTAAAATATTTTTTGTGTTTGTATTATTTGTATTTTTATTTGTATTTTTTATTTTTTTACCCCGAATATTTTTAGTCCATGATTGGCTAAATCCTTGGGTGCAGAACCTGTGGATATGGAGGGCCCACTGTATATAGGACTTAGCTATAACTTCCTGTAGCTATCAGCAGCTGACTTGGAATCAGAAAGAGACAGACAGTAAGGGACTCAGAGAGGGAGCAGAGTCCACTCCAAACCGTATCTCTCAGTTGTTTATGGTTCGGTTTCTATTAGCATATCTTAATCCATGTAGTCCATCCAGAGATGATTTTTAGCACTTTTTTTTAAAGGGTGTTCTGGAACAGTTAGAAAAGAAGGCTTACCCAGTGTATAGCTCCTAATCAGTATGCCCATTTAGTGTATGTAATATGTGTTTTTTTTTGTATGCTGTTTTTTAATGCTATTTTCCTTTATCTTTTGCTCACAGTAAATTTTGCGTGAAACTTACAAAGTATTTCTGGCATATAAACATTATTCATAAAATAAGTTATAGTTGTAATTGTTTTTCTCCTGCCTTCTTTTATTTTTATTTATTTTTTTTATTACAGAAATGAGCCGTCAGACTGCTACAGCATTACCTACTGGTACCTCAAAGTGTCCACCATCCCAGAGGGTGCCTGCCCTGACTGGCACAACTGCATCCAACAATGACTTGGCGAGTCTTTTTGAGTGTCCGGTCTGCTTTGACTATGTGTTACCACCCATTCTCCAGTGTCAGAGTGGCCATCTTGTTTGTAGCAACTGTCGCCCAAAGCTCACATGTTGTCCAACTTGCCGAGGCCCGTTGGGATCCATTCGCAACTTGGCTATGGAAAAAGTGGCCAATTCAGTACTTTTCCCTTGTAAATATGCCTCTTCTGGATGTGAAATAACTCTGCCACACACAGAAAAAGCAGACCACGAAGAGCTCTGTGAGTTTAGGCCTTATTCCTGTCCGTGCCCTGGTGCTTCCTGTAAATGGCAAGGCTCTTTGGATGCTGTAATGCCCCATCTGATGCATCAGCATAAATCCATTACCACCCTACAGGGAGAGGATATAGTTTTCCTTGCTACAGACATTAATCTTCCTGGTGCTGTTGACTGGGTGATGATGCAGTCCTGTTTTGGCTTTCACTTCATGTTAGTTTTGGAGAAACAGGAAAAATACGATGGTCACCAGCAGTTCTTTGCAATTGTACAGCTGATAGGAACACGCAAGCAAGCTGAAAATTTTGCTTACCGACTTGAGTTAAATGGTCATAGGCGGCGATTGACTTGGGAAGCAACTCCTCGGTCTATTCATGAGGGAATTGCAACAGCCATCATGAATAGTGACTGCCTAGTCTTTGACACCAGCATTGCACAGCTTTTTGCAGAAAATGGCAATTTAGGCATCAATGTAACTATTTCTATGTGTTGAAATGGCAATCAAACATTTTTCTGGCCAGTGTTTAAACTGTTTCATTCAATTTCACAGAAAATAAGGCACCCATCTGCCTGCCAACCTGAAACTCTTGGTAGGTGGAAGCTAGACACATGAAGGTAAATAAAAAGAAAGGCTATTAAATACAGGAAACAGTTGCATGTAGTAACACTAATATATTTAAAAAATAAGTCAACAGTAAACCACTGAAAAAATATATATATACACCCAAGATGGGCACCTTTTGTATTAAGAAAGGAAGCATTGTAAAATAATTCTGAGTTTTGTGTTTGTTGTAGATTGATTGTATTGCTGAAGAATATTGGGGTTTTTTGTTTTTGCGTGTGTGGGTGTGTGTGAGTGTGTGTGTGCGCGTGCGTGCGTTTTTTTCCTCTAACTGACAAGCCATCTTGAGTGGTCTTGGACCACTGCTTTTCCCCTTTGTGATTCATTACATAGTGCTGCTGTTTTTTTGTGTGTGTATTTGCTAATTTTTATTAATTGTAGTTTTTCATTAAATAAATTTGACTTTCTTTTCTGTAATTCAGGCTTTTACTCACTTTTTTTGTACCATTTTAAAGTTAGTGTCTTTTGATATGTATACTTGTTTATGGTAAAGTTTATGTGTTCTGACATACATTTTCTTTCCCCCCATTAATCAGTTCATTAGAAATATTTTAAACTCAGCTATTTTGTGAAGATATGAGTTCCAGAAAGGAAAGGTGATATCAGAAAAATTTTCAAAGGCTATTTAAAGCACTTATAAGATGGTCTCATGCTCTTTTTTCTCTTCTCCAATTAAGTCATAACTTTAAACTTAATCTTTGAGAGGTTAGGGAATAAATTGATTTTTATAAATACTGAAAAAAAATCAGGCTTTTTTCTTTTTTCAAAATCTTAGACAAATCACGTTAAAAATTTGTTCTTGTATTTATTGGTTTTGCAAAAGAAGGCATCGTCATGCACAGTATTTGTAATTAAAAAACAAATCATTTGTTTAAAAAAGGCAGTTTGCAAAAAAGGTATGTTTTTGGTCTTTTATAATTCTCATTAAAAGGATATCTGGCAAATTCAAAAAATCTTCATGTGTCTGCTTTAGCTCTGAGTTTGAAATCCAAAGTTATTTTGCTGTTCCATTCTGTACTTTTTATGTAGCAGAAAGCAGTGTGCTGGCATTTTGAAGTGTGGTAATTTTTTTATTCTAAAGCACAGCAGCAGACTTGGGTTATATCACCTCTGGGCTACAGAGTCTTATTTTTTCCTCCCTCTTGCCCACATTTTGATTCTTACAACTGTCAGGAGAGTGACTAATTAAAATGCTAACCCCTTTTTCACTCTCTTAAAAAAAAAAGCCCAATAAAAATGAAGTTTATTTAGTATTTCATAGCCCTGTGGCCTTGGCTCTGCATCCAGACTTCCAAGCTGTGTGACCTTGGAATCCAGTTCCTAATGTGTAGAGTTGGGGTAAATTACGGACCTCAAAACATTAAATGAGGTACAAGTTACCCAGAACAGTGCTTTGTAAACAGTATCCAAAAAATGGTAGCTACTATTATGCCTTTAGCACCATACAGTTAACCGTTGCTAATTACCTTGGGGCACATGGTAAAGTTCTAAAATTGTATTCTGAATGGCCAAAGATAATTGTGTGCGTGGTTTTTATGGGTACATTAAGCTTAGAAAGTCAATGAAAATTTATGTGGACTTCCCCCTTATCCTACCACCAATTCTGGATAACAGAGTTTATGTTTCTGTTAATCATTTTCAGGAAAGAAACCTTAGTAGTCTCTTCCCTACATAAGCATAATTTTTTGAATTGGTTATAACTTGTGTGTTCAGCCATTTTTATGGTGAATAGTTCAACCACAAATTTATATCCAGGTCTATTTCTGTTACCAAGTGTACTTAGAAAAACCAACTTATATTCTTTGTTTCATATACACATTGAGTATATTTGTGGAGGCATATCATTTTGTAGTTTTAACACTTAAAAAATATTTTTTGATTATGAAATTTATGCGTTTCATGTTGACTTTGGAAGTTACAAGATGGCACAACACAATAGGCCTTCTATAATCTTACTATCCATTCAGATACACTTAACATTTTATTTTCCAGTCTTTAATGTGTATGTATGTGTACTTTTACAGGTATTAGGTTATTAAGTATGAAAGTCAGTTTCACAGTTGGTATCTCTGACATTTCACTCTGACACTTCTTGTTTTGTTTTTATTGTGAAGGTACATCCTTACTCTTCCAAATGGGTGGTTTGGCTTGTGATTATCTTTCACATTTTAAGAGCAATTTTTGTGAAACCATGGATAAGTAAAATTTTTTTTAATGTAAGTTCTGTTGTGGAACCTGTGCTGCACAGACAGTCTGAAATATCAATGAAAGGATGTGGCTAATCAACGCACAGTATGTCAGTGGTTTCAGAAGTTTCGTTCTGGTGATTTTAATCTTGGAAATGAGCCACGTGGGTGACAGAGACCAAGGTGGATAATGATGAGCTGAAAGCTGTAGTGGAAGTGAATCTGTCTCAACCTACGTGTGAATTAGCAGCAAGGTTGAACGTTAATATTCCAATAATATTGGACCATTCTAAAATCTTTAAGGTAAAGAAGCTAGATAGATGGACAGGTACCGCTTGAAGAAGAGAAATTGTCTTGAAGCTTGACTTTTGCTGTCACAACATAAAGGCGAAGCATTTCTATGCTGTATTGTTATATATGATGAAAAGTGGATTCTTTTTGACAATTGCAAGTGTTCTACACAATAGCTGGATAAAGATCAAGTGTGAAACACAGTCCAAAACTGAACATTCATCAAAAAAAGCTAATGGTGTCTGTTTGGTGGTCCAGCGCTGGTATTACCTATACAGTTTCATGAAACCTAGTCAATCAAGTATAGTGGATGTCTACTGCAACCAGTTGGATGAAATGATGATGATGCTTGAGATTAAGCAGCTGAGATTGGTCAATAGAGGCAGGAATCCTCTCGCAAGACTACGTGCCACAGAAAACAATGCTGCTCAAACTACAGAGGCTGGACTTGGAAACTCCCTGTCATCTACTATACTTACCAGACCTTGAATCAACTGACTACCACTTCTATGCTTTGGACCACTTCTTGCAAGGAAAAATATTCAATTCTCAACAAGCTGTGGAAAACACCTTTTGTGCTTTTGTCACCACTCACCCTCCAGGCTTCTTCTCTGCTGGCATAAACAAGCTACTGTTAAGATGCCAAAACTTTGATTAATTGTACTGCTGCTTGTTTGAGAGATAATAAACTTTTGATTTGCAATCAGACATTTCAAATTTAATGACCAATATTTTTGAAAAGGATTAGGACTATGTAGTTATATAACTGTTTCACCATACAACATGATCTGAGCATTTTAACACTTTAATCTTGGAAAAACACAATTTTTGGTAATTTGTGAGGATTCACTGTAATTTTAGCCAGTTTCCTGTTGGATAGTTAATTGGTCTAGGTAAATTTTTTCTGGTTACTTATAAATAACCTGTGAACATTTCTATATGTTTTCTGATTATATTCTTGGGATTCTTTTTTAAGATCTTAATACTTTTATCATTGCTTTCTGGAGAAGGTTCCAGAGGACACTTAAGAGTAATGTGCTCAAGAGAGTTGCCTTTAAAAAGGAGAAAGAAAACAATTTTAAAAAGCAGTGTGGCCGGGCGTGGTGGCTCACGCCTGTAATCCTAGCACTTTGGGAGGCCGAGGCGGGCGATTGCTCAAGGTCAGGAGTTCGAAACCAGCCTGAGCGAGACCCCGTCTCTACCAAAAATAGAAAGAAATTAATTGACCAACTAAAAATATATATACAAAAAATTAGCCGGGCATGGTGGCGCATGCCTGTAGTCCCAGCTACTCGGGAGGCTGAGGCAGTAGGATCCCTGAGCCCCGGAGATTGAGGTTGCTGTGAGCCAGGCTGACGCCACGGCACTCACTCTAGCCTGGGCAACAAAGTGAGACTCTGTCTCAAAAAAAAAAAAGGCAGTGTGAAGGGTTTTCCATGTCAACATCATATTGCTAATAATTTATAAAGAAATTAGTGTAGTAAATTTTGTTTATAAATTAGTTTGACAATAAGGTTGACGTTTTAATAATTTGTATTTAAGTCTTCATATTCTTGGCCTATAGGAATGAGATGTGTATTCACATTTGGTCTATTTGAGTTTGATTTATGGGATATAACTCTTGTTCTTAAATTGCTTTTGTTACAACAAGTACTTTCTCCATAATGCCCTTGCCCCTTCCTTTTGGTGTTTTCTTCCAGGAGCCTCTATGTGGGGTGGGGGTAAGCGGCACTCTTCACGTTTGCTTTTCTGTTTTAACTTCAATTTGTCCTGTTGCACCATGGGCCAGTTGAGTACGTCAGTCTTCACTATGGAACAGTTTTTCCTTTACACTGTGAGTGACTTTTTATTGTAATATGTATGACTTTCTCTTTAAGGCCCACATTCAGATTTCAAACTTACCTGAGTGGCTGTATTTATTAGCTCACGAAAAATAATAATGTCCTCTCCCTCAACAAGAGTTGTTCATATTCAGGAACATCTGCAGTGATTCTGCTAAGGGTAGAATTTTGTTTATTCACAATAAAGACAGGAAGAATTGGTAAATAATCAAAATTTTAAAAATCATGGGGGCCAGTCTGTGACTGCTGCATTAGAATAGACAAGAGTAAGATCAGAACACAATAGGGTGAATATAAAAGATTACATGGGTCAGGCGTGGTGGCCTGTAATGCCTGTAATCCCAGCACTTTGGGAGGCTGAAGTGAGAGGACTGCTTGAGGCCCAGAGTTCCAGGCCCCACCTCTACAAAATATTAAATTAGCCTGGTGTGGGGGCAAACTCCTGTAATCCCTGCTACTGGGGACGCTGATGTGGGAGGATTGCCTGAGCCCATACATTGGAGGCTGCAGCGAGCTATGATCGCACCACTGCATTCCAGCCTGGCTGACACTGTGAGACCCTGTTTCTTTCTTTTTTTTTTTTTTAAGTTTTAGTGCTTACGATCTTAAGCTCTATTACCAAAAGAAATTCAAACTTACCTAAAAATGGCATCATCCAAACAAAATTGTTTCTTATCAAGCACCTAACTAAAATTTGGTGTCTAGCAGAGTAGGCTGTAGATTCTAACTGCCTGGGTTGAATTTTGACCATACATCTATTGACTTTTAATTAACTTGTCAGTTCTGGTCCCTCCTCTAAAGGGTATGGTATCTATTGCGTAAGGGAATGCGAAAGGCTAAATGTGCTATAAAGTGCTTATTTTTGCACCTGGCACTGTATGTTGAGTAACTTGCTGAACCAGCTATATTCCCTATCCTCATACAGATCTAAGAAATTTCTTTGATAAATTCATTTTATTATACATGCAATTTTCGTAAGGCCTTTCTAAATTCTGAAAACCATAACTGGTTTGCAGATACTAATACCTGCAATGGTAGGAAAGAATACTTGGTTTTGTAAAGTCACATTTTGATAGACTTGCAGTGTCATGTAAGATGAGGATTTAGCTTAAAAGGTTTGTTTCTATTGCCTAGAAATGTGCTGACAATATGTTGAGTTGAATACTTAAAATTTTTTAATATAAGATTCTTTATTGGGTCCCCATTTTTAATATATTGAATTTTCTTTAGTTCGTTAAGTACAAACTATAGTATGTTCCAAATAAGTGAATTTTTTTGGGAAGTAAAAGCTTTTCCTAGAGGCCGGGTGCGGTGGCTCACGCCTGTAATCCTAGCACTCTGGGAGGCCGAGGCGGGTGGATTGCTCGAGGTCAGGAGTTCGAAACCAGCCTGAGCAAGAGCGAGACCCCGTCTCTACTATAAATAGAAAGAAATTAATTGGCTAACTAATATATAGAGAAAAAATTAGCTGGGCATGGTGGTGCATGCTGTAGTCCCAGCTACTTGGGAGGCTGAGGCAGGAGGATTGCTTGAGCCCAGGAGTTTGAGGTTGCTGTGAGCTAGGCTGACGCCACGGCACTCACTCTAGCCTAGGCAACAAAGTGAGACTCTGTCTCAAAAAAAAAACAAAACAAACAAAACATCTCAGTGGCCATTCACTGGATTTGCTTGTTGTCTATTCAGATCCTTTTAATATTTTCTTCCTGTTTTGGTGTTTTTTTTTTTTTAATGTGCAATTTTCATTGCAGGATTAGGATCCACAAAAATTAACATTAATATTGGACCATAAATCATCAAATTGGATAATGACTGTAGTCTGAATTTTTTTAAGGTGCTAGGGGCTCCAGTACAATGTCTTACTTTGGCTGAGATAATGTGAGCTTTTTTTTACTTCATTATAAAAACTAAAATTACTTGATGTTTATAGCTAATAATCCCAGTTAAAATAAATTTTGGATTTGGAAAGGGAGTTGGCAGACATTAACACTATCAACATGTTAAAATTAAACATTAATATTCTTTGTAGATTTGCATCCACTCTCATAATAGTAAAATTTACCTCATTTTAGTAGCTCATAAAGGAAGATACCACTAAGTCAGCCCCCTTCACCGTCTGCAGCTGATTACCTGACATAGTTGATTTTGGTAAGCGAAAATGTCACCAGACACCTAGTACTGACTAGAAGGTCTTGGTGGTAGACATCACTAGCCACCTTAAAACTATGGTCACAGATTTATCAATTGATGTTAGATATTTTAGGAATAATAGATGGCATTTTTCACTGTATTTGAATATAGGTGATCAAGTGACTGAGGATCCCTCCTCTGATGGCACAGTTCATGGTAAGATTCAAACTGAGGGACCAAGAAAGGGACAGCCAAGTAAAAGCATGTATGCCTTAACGTTTACAGTATAAAATTTCTTGATAAACAAGTCACTTGAAACTTTGTTTTAGTTTTAACACTTTAAGAGTTTTAAAAGCCTGTGTATAAAAGAGCACGTGGAATACTGGCTAAATACAAATATCCCAAGGTCTTAACCCTAGGCCTACTGAATTAGAGTTAATCTGCATTTTTAGTAAAAGAAAAAAAAGCTGATTGTGATACAAGGGATCTTTGCGTAACATTTTCAAAAGAATGCTAGAAAAAGATGCTTAACATCACTACCTATTAGGGGAGATCAAATCAAAATACTATGTAACACCCACTTTGAGGGCCATTATCAAAAAAACAACAGAGGTGTTGGCAAGGATGTGGAGAAAGGGGAACGTTCGTGCACTGCTGATGGGAATGTTAAATGGTGCAGCTGGGAAACATCTCAAAAAGTTAAACAGTTATGTTGTCTTGAGTTGTCTGCTGCTATAACAAAACAGCTGAGACTGGGTAATTTACAAAGAACAGAAATTTCTCAACAGTTCTGGAGTCTGAAGTCCAAGGTCAAGATGCTGGCAGATTTGGTCTCTATTGAGGGCCCAGTTTCTGCTTCCAAGGTGGCACCTTGTTGCTTTGTCTCATATGATGGAAGAGCAAAAAGGAGGTGGCTCGTTCCCCTGGGCACTAAACCAGTTCATGAGGGCAGAACTCTTATGGCCTAATCTCACCTCCTAAAGGACCCTACTTAATATCACATTGGTGATTAAGGTTCAACACATGAGTTCAGACCATAGCATACGATCTAGCAATTTCACTTCTGGGTATGTACCCAAAAGAAGTGAAAAGGGATGTGAGGAGCTATTTGTACACCCATCTTCATAGCAACATTATTTTTAATACTCAAGAGGTGGGAACAACCAACAGATGAATGAATGAACAAAATGTGGCATAGGTATACAATGTAGTATTTTTTGGCCATAAAAAATTCTGACACATGCTACAACATGGATAAACCTTGACAACTTGCTAAGGCATGCCAGACACAAATGGACAACTATTGTATAATTTCACTTACATGAAAGCAAATTCACAGAGACAAACTAGAATAGTGGTTACCAGGGTCTGGGGTGAGGGTGGAATTGGGGAGTTACTTCCCAATGGGTACAGAATTTTAGTTTGTGCTGACTAAAAAGATAGGTGTTCACATTGGCAACACTGAATGTAATTGATGCCCCTGAATTAATTTACACATTTAAAAATAGTACATTTTATGTATATTTTGCCCCTTAAAAACAGGTGAAAAAGGAAGAGTGTAGATGTCAACCAACTTCTCCCTTCCCTAAAAAAAAAACAAAAACCAAACAATGCTGAAATAATAAAGGTCATACTGTGAAATGTCACACACAGTGAGGGAAGTAGCCAGGTTTTCTCAGTAGGCTCCTGGAAAAAGCAAAGGCATGCTTAAAGCAAGGACAGAAATGCCCAAATGCTTACGGACGAGCACAAGGGTGCATGTTCCAGACTCTAGAGGAAGAATACAGATAACCACAAGCTTTAAAAATGTTCTTTGTTGCTACTCTGTTTTAGAGTGGAACAGGGCAGAGCAATTTGGGTGAGGATTAGCTCCCTCTGGTCGCTGAAAATGACTTAACAGTTATAGTTTAGTTTTTTACTTCCCTGTAAATGACTGAGTAGAGATGATAATAGTTGATAAGATAGTTAATGGAATGTTTTCAAATATCATGATGTTCCTTCTCTGTAATTGTGCCGTAACTAGTGCTAGGTCTGGACTTTTCTTCCCAGAACACACTCAGATTTTATTAGCAGGTCTGAGGCACAGTATTTTGGGTAACTTGCAGACCTCATTTTTACTGAGGAAATTCGAAAATATCTTTACATATCTGTTCTTACATATGTTTTGTATCATAAGATTCTAAAGTCTGGCTGGAATAATAATTAGAAATTGCTTAATATTATTTATTATTTTAGATAAATAATCCTGGTTAGGCCAGGACTGATGATAGGAAAAAAATATATTTTAGGTTGCATTTTAACTTATTCTTCACAATAACTATTAGGTACTGTTATTTGCATTTCACAGAAGAGGAAAACTAAGATACGGGAAGTTCACACAGCTGGCAAGCAGAAGAGCCCGACTTCATAGCCTGGACTGAGCCACAGAAGAAAACAGGCGTGGGAAGTCTACTGGATTTGGCAATTGCACAGGCAAACAAGAAATAGAAGGCAGGTAGCAGGAGTCAGGATTCCAAGCTTAGGTACCGACCCAGGACAGATGGCTGCGTCCCTCTGGGAACTGGGCCTCTCCGAGCTGTGCTGGCACACACCACTGCCGGAATCAGATGACCCTGTGCTGAGGGCTGTGTCCCTCCACATAAGGAGGGACCTACATTGGGATGTGTAGCTCTTATCATAGGGTTCACTTAGCTTAAATGCTTTTATTTTCTGCAAGGACAAGTAGTTGGCTATATATTCATCTTTGCCTAGTTCTCCTTCTAAGTGATTGGTTTCAGGATCCAATAAAGTCTACAGGTGAATCCCGTAAGGTCTAATAGTCGATGCCACTGCCGGGACTTCAGGTTGATTCTGACAGAGTTACGTTATTCTGACTACAAACACTGCTCCTGCAGAGCTTCAGCCGTGTGCCGGGATTATTTCCTTCTCTATTACAGGGTTAAAGCCGTGACCTCTGTGCCACTTAAGAAGACATATCCTCAGCTTTCTAGGCTCTTATGGTGGTCCTTTCAAGTTCTTGAACTTGACTGTGCATCAGAATTACCTGGAAGGCTTCTTAAAACACAGAATTCTCCACTTCTCAACCCTCCAGAGTTTGATTCAGGCGGTCTGCAATAGGGCCTACGAATTTACATTTCTATAATAACAAGTTCCAGGTAATGCAGATGCTTCGTTTTAGTGACTACACTGAGAACCACTGCTCAGGATCTTTCCAGGAATAGCAATGTTTCCACTAAAACAAGAATTCAATTTTTATCAATTTATTAATCTTATATTTCTGTAATAAACACTAGCCACTACTTGAGTGAAGTTCATTATTATTATGATTATGTTTACAAAATAGGGACATTTTGCATACTCCTATTGGTGTGAATAAAATCAACCTTGTCAGTACCTTTTGGCACTTTTATAACTTAAAATTCTAAAAAGTTGAGGTCTGGGCCTACAGTTTGCTATTTAAGAGACCAGGTCTGGTCTTGACGGTAAAGCCACCATCAAAAGCTGCATCAAGAACTTCATCCAGGCAGCTTGCTGTGACAAAGCTTAAATCCTGGCGTACGTTGCCTGGGATTCCCTCAAGGTCTTTTTCATTTCTCCGAGGAATAATGATTTGCTTCAGTCCTGCTCTGTGTGCTGCCAGCACTTTGTCTTTAATTCCACCCACCTGAAGGAGAGAAGAAAGTTTTTAAGAGTAATGAGTACCCTTAAGCTGTAAGAAAGCCCAACCCACCTTTCAGTGAATTTAACCACTACTATTTTAAGACATCCAAACCATTTTCCATTTTGTTATTATAGTATGAGCTAGGAAAGCCACTAAAAAGGTTACTAAGTAGTGACTTAAATTTTTTTGTTTTGATTAGTATCAAATCCTAAAGGAAGGGAATTCTACATTTATCCTAAGTATGAGCACTTTTCTGCCAGTGACTCTTTTTTTTAAAATATTGTCAAGGTTAACATTTATATTCCATTTTGTAATCACAACTATCTTGTGTGTAGGTTGATTCTGATAGAGTATTACATTATTCTGACCATAAACACTCCTCCTACAGAGCTTCAGTTGTGTGCCAGGATTATTTTCTTCTCTACAGGTGTAAAGCCGTGACCTCTGTGCCACTCAAGAAAACATACCCTTTACTATCTAGGCTCTTGTGGTGGCTTTGAAACACGTCCACAGTGGTCCCTTCAAAGGGTGAATCTATTCCCTTCCTCTTGAGTGTGGACCAGGCTTTGTGACTTGATAAGAAACTGTGGCCTGGCATGGTGGCACATGCCTATAGTTCCAGCTACTTGGGAGGCTGAGGCAGGAGGATCGCTTGAGCCCAGGAGCAGAAGTTGAATCTAGTCTGCAACACAGTGAGACCCCTATCTCTTAGGGGGAAAAAAAAGAAATAGAATGTGTTATGGGAGTGATGTTATATGACTTCCAAGGTTAAGTCATAAAAAATGAGAGCTTCTACCAGGATCTCTCTTGAATCATTTGCCTGGAGGTAGCCAGTTACCACGTTTGAGATCACCAAAGCAGCCTATAGAGAGGAAGCCCAAAAGCTTCCTGCCCCACCAACCAGGACCGATTTGCCAGTCATGTGAGTGAACCACCTTGGAAGCAGATCTTCTAGCCCCTTCAGATGACTGCAACCTGGCTTTTATCTGGATCTTAAAGATGAGAAGACCCTGAGCCAGCTGAAGAACCCAGCTGAGCCTCTCCCGAATTCCTCATTCACAGAAACTTTGATGATAAATACTCTTGTTTTGGGGTAATGTGTTGTAACAAATACAGCTCTAAAGTCGTCCACCTAGATACGTAACCCTTGGAGACAGCCCTCTTGGAACCCTCAACCATTAGCTCCAATGCAGACTGGCTGCTCTCCAGGCCTCCTGCCAGCTGTTGTCCTGCCCACTGACATCCTCTCAGGGTTTTCTTCATGCGCTGAAGGACACCTTCAAAGTATCTTCATGTATAAAATACTTATTTTCACACTTGATAGATAGTAAGACTGTGTGTACAAGACTAGATTTAAAATCATTTTCTGGCTTCTGCACGTTTCACAAGATGAGGCGGAGCCTTGGGTCCACCAGCACCTCCTGAGACCCTGAAACCACCCCGAGATGGAAGAGGACCAGGAGCTGGAGAGAAAAGTATCTGGATTGAAGATCTCAGTGGGTGAAGGCGAGAGGAAGACAGCCCTGGAAACGGTCCAGGCGGCTGGAGCAGATAGTGTGTGGCATTCGTATTGCACGCAGAGGACCATACCCTAGGAAATGCTCTGCGTTACATGATCATGAAGAACCCAGAAGTGGAATTTTGTGGTTACACTACGACGCATCCTTCAGAGAGCAAAATTAATTTACGCATTCAGATTTGGGGTGCTCTTCCAGCTGTTGAGCCATTTCAGAGAGGCCTGACTAAGCTCATGAGTGTCTGCCAACATGTGTTTGACAAGTTTGAGGCCAGCATAAAGGACTATAAGGATCAAAAAGCAAGCAGAAGTGAATCTTCATTTTAGTTCCTTATGCAGCATACAAGGAGGACTGTGCTCTAGGGGATTCTCTTCGTGATCGTGCAGACCCAAAAAAGAAGTTTGTGATTACAGCATGCTCTGTCCTTCGAAAGGTGTGGTTTTAGTTATTGATCCATTATAGTTGTTGGAATCTCTGCAAGAAACTTTGTGTTCTTCTAGTAAATTCCCTTTCATTTGATTTAAAAAAAAAAAAAATTTTCCCTCACAGTTGGAAGGTACTACACATCCAGTGTCAATGATGAGGAAGCTTTATCCTTGGTGACCCCTTTCAATCTGAAGCCACCTTAAATCCTAGGAAATGTTCCATTAGTTCATTATTTCTTGACAATTTGTATATTCCATTTTCCTGTTTGCTAGAGCTCCTGTTAGATGGTGGATCTCCCAGGTTGTTTTTTCAGTATAATTTTTTTCTGAGTAATTCTTTGACCAGTTTTAAAACCATACTTTTAAATTCAATGCCTTGTCTTATCCTCTATTCTTGAATTATGTTTCCTCTAGCCTTAGCAGGTCTTTCTTTTAAATGCTACTGCTTTCCTTCATGTCTCTTGTAAGATTTCTGTTGGGAAAGAAGACTGGCTCTGCCTCCAATTCTGTTTCATGAGCCAGACACTCCTGTCTCCCCAGAAAATGTCTGAACTGTCAAGCTAATTACCCCACTCACTTTTGGGTGTTAGAATTTATTCCCTTTAACAAGAGTTTATGGTCAATAAAGCACCTCTTCATTTCCTTTTAGTAGCATAGCTAGTATAAGCCACTACTATCACTTAAAATGCAAGAGTTCCTGGGGAAGGTGAAGAAAAGTAATCAGCCACTCTTTTTAAGTATAGATCTACAAATATATCATCATAAATATAGTTTAGAATATGACCATATAACCTTCTAACTTAATGGTTGTATTAAAAAACAGGAAAAAGCATTTTTAGTGATCTTAATTAGCAATTCTATGATTTGGTTTCACTATTCATAAAATAAGGTCTTTTTCAGAATAAAGAATATTCCTTTTTTTTCCCCTTATTTTGCTTTGAACATGCCAAAATTTTGTTGTAGACTGGTACTGGTACCTAATAACTTAAAACCTAAATACTCTCTCAAGTTTGGTGCATTTTATCACAGTGTTTTTATAAGCAGTTTAGGATATGGACTGGAACCTCAAGACCCCACATGTATGGAATTTTTTCAAAACTCAGCAATCAGATATGGTTAATTGTTATGAGTTTCCATTCCACAACAGTTGTTTTCCTATAAACCTATCAACTCTAGTAATCTAAGTTTTCTATAGGAGAATAAGAGGTCTCAAAGGAACTTCAAAAGTTAAGAATTAGGCTTAAAGCTTAAAAAGAGCTGCTATCCTATTTTACACGTTATAGATTTAACAATTTATAAGTTATTAATAGAACAAGGCCTGAAATCTTCATGTGAACTGCTGATATTTCTAATGACCATATTGGTATTTTTCCCTTTAGCAAGTCTTAGAAGAGAAAAAAACATGGGCAAAATTATCAGTTTTTCTTTTATTTGATCAGAATTTTAAAATATGCATTAGTTACCAGTATAAAAATTTAATATACATTTAAAACCAAGGTTTTCAAATAAAGAAGGCAAAGCTTATTAAATTAAATTTTAAAATATTTTTAAAAATTGAAAACCATATAAATCAGTTTTTCATACTTACTGGAAGAACAAGACCTCTCAGTGTAATTTCTCCAGTCATGGCTACATCTGAACGTACCAGACGCCCACTAAAAAGTGAGGCAAGACAGGTTACTATGGTAACTCCAGCAGATGGTCCATCTTTCATGACAGCTCCAGCTGGGAAGTGCAGATGGATGTCTGTGTTGTCAAGAAGATCAAAACTTCCAAAAGCTTTAAAAAGGAAAAAAGGATGTTAATGTAGAAAAATTGAATCTGTTTTCTTTTCCTCCTAAAAAAGCAAATCAGACAAAAATGAATGTTTTGGGTAAATGAATCCTTCTAAATATTAATGGATGGTACAATTACAGTGAAGGTCTGGAAGAAAAGTTTCATTCTATTTGAAGGATTAAAAACAAACCTTGTCAATTAGTGTCTAGTTCAGGCACTAGCCAAATAGTACTAAAATGGGAACTAAAATTTCCAGAGGGGTTCAAAAGCAAAGGCTGTGCTTTACTGAATGGTGTAACTGATAATTAAGAGGTGATCTTCATCTTTGCCCCAGAATTGTAAGCTGCCTCCTGGATCGTGATCCACGGGCTCCTCACTCGCGGCTGTGCCCAGCTGCACAGGCACGCACCGTTGGTCAGCTGGTATTTCTTCGCATTGCTGCGCAGCCAGCTGATGGCGAGGTGGGCAGACTCCTTCATGACGTCCCCCAGCTGGCCAGTCAGAGTGAGCTGGCCTTCGCCATCCATCCGACTCGCCTCCACAAACATGATTTCTCCACCCAAGGGAGTCCAAGCCAGACCTATCGCCACCCCTGGCTGACTCAAACGCTGAGATACCTTGAAAGAGAACAGAAAAATGATCGGAGTTAGGTCAACAGGTGCCACAGTATTTCCAGGCTGACTAATCATACTACTCTGCAGGAGTCTGCTTTTCCATAAAAGGACTTAAGATTCTGAGTCACACTTACCACTTACTAGCTGGCTTTCTGCCAGAAGAAATACCTACACTTCTCTTTAGCATTTATCAGAAGCAATTTTACCTTAAAATATGTGTGAATAACCTTGATTTTAAGAGCCAGGTCTAGTTACATATGCCCTAGTTTTCAAGGAATAAACCCAGTAGTTCTATCTCTTTAAGCATTTTTATTCGGCTGCATATTATACACACTCCAGAACCTAACTTCATTTTAGGTAGTCATGAATTTGTTTCAGAAAGGAGAAACTCTTATTAGTACACATTTAAGAAGTGTGAGCTCCAGAGGCCAAGTGTGAAGAGATTTATCACAAACCCTAGATTTTACTTCTCTGCCACTTACCTTTACTTTCTCTGTTACTGCTGCAGAGATACTATAAAATACCACTAGCCTATCCATGGCCTGGCTGCCATTTCAAAATGAACATGGTCATCACCTGAGATTTTGAGCCTGGAGGTTAATAACATCCAAGTCATGAAAACAAATAAAAAATAACAGTTGAAAAACAGTAATATTAACTTTCAGTATACCCTTTGAATTTCCAAATATCCTACACTACAGAAGTTATTCATGTCAGAGGAACTGAGCAAAATATGTCAACCAAGCACTAATCCAAATATGGGATTTTTCTACTGAGAGGTAAGGTTCTTAGTGAGGAAGAGCAGAGTCTATAGCTTTAGTTTGCAAGGCTGGGTTGCTTTTCCAAGGGGCTTGGACAGTGATTTTAAAATTTATTCTAAAATCATGTATGGGATCCACTGAAGCTATTGGGTGCTTATTTTCAGTAGTAAATATAAAAGTCTATTTAAAAAATTTAGAGATGTGGAAGGCCAGACTCCAGCATCAGTTGAGCTAATACAGCATGCATCACACTTCCCTCCAGCCTTAGCACCTGCCCTCTTCTATAATGACTTCAGTAGAAAGACACAAAAGAGCAATATGCAAAAGATTAGTATTAATTAACAAAAACACAAACTATTCATAAAACTGTTTACAAAGTTTGTTTTTTCTAATATAAAATCAGTTCTCTGTACCTGGACAACATCTAGTTTGAATGAAAATTTGCCAGGGATTCCTGTTTTGTTTTTTATTGTTGTTTGTTTGCTTTTGAGGTTGGGTCTTGCTATGCTGTCCACACCAATCTCAAACTCCTGGGCTCAAGTGATTCTCCTACCTCAGCCTCCCCAATAACAGGGACTACAGACACATGCCACCACACCTGGCTCTAATTCCTGTTTTGTTTTGTTTTTTTGAGACAGAATTTCACTCTGTTGCCCCAGCTAGAGTGCCGTGGCGTCAGCCTAGCTCACAGCAGCCTCAAACTCCTAGGCTCAAGCGATCCTTCTGCCTCAGCCTCCCGACTACAGGCATGCACCACCACGCCCGGCTAATTTTTTCTCAATATAATTTACTTACTATTTTTAGTAGAGATTGGGACTCGCTCTTGCTCAGGCTGGTCTCGAACTCCTGAGCTCAAACGATCAGCCCCCCCCTCGGTCTCCCAGAGTGCTAGGATTATAGGTGTGAGCCACCGTGCCCGGCCTTTTTTCAAAAACTACATAATTCCTTTCTAGGGCTGGGTGAACTAATCCTAAAGAGTTATCGTCAATATACTGAATCATGTTTAATTCAACATAAAAAGTCATTTGATATAATTTTGTTAGCTATACCATGAATAGTCCCTTTCTTATATTTGAATCCTCAAAAATTCACTGTCAAAAGAATGCCAAAAGTATCCCAAAGAAGCAGTAGTAAGATTCTTGTTACCATGTTGCTTCAAGAAACCAAGCCAGTTTTCCAACACTCCCCATCCGCTGGGGAGTCGTGGTGCTTCTGTAATAGGTGAATTGTTCACTGCAAAGTGTGGGCAGTGTAGGTGAGTGCATATGGCCAAACCAAAAGCATCCACACTCACAATTACCATTCTGACTTGACAGAAAGTGTTCTAACGTGAACTTGAAGTTGGGACTAATGATAAGCCTATGTAACGTCAACATACATGGTGGGAGAACTGAAGTTACTATGAAACCTGGAATTTCTGTGATCAAGGCTAACAGTTATCTAAGAAGTAAAGAACTTTCAATTCTTAGACTTGGAGTCATATTCTTCCAGGGCATGTGCTCTGAAACTTTATCAAAAGCACCCAGTTTCCATGTATTTCTTCTTCAGAAAAGATGGAGTATAAGTAAATATGAATTTAAAGGATAAGATACATGCTGCTTTCTTGCTTTTGAATGCAGGCAGTTTTTCAGCCATCTTAACCCCTTTAACACAGAACAATTTGTGTTGTATAGCAAATAAGCAACTCAACATGATTTCAAAACAATGTTTATCCACCAGGACCTTCCTGTCAGCTTCTGTTCCCATTACTGGTTTGTGGAGTCATCAGCTATATCAGCTAAGACAGGCCTAGGCCTGAAGTTTAGAATGTTTTAATGTCAACGTGGCACATGTGTATCTCGAGTTCGTTTTTGTTCTTCAGTTTCCCACTTGTCCTGTTACTGTGCTTTGGGTTCCTTATCTACTAAATAAATCTTGTCCAAAGAAACGGTCAATTCCTCTGTAATAATTCTATCAATAAGGTCAATATGCAGACTGAGGAAGTATTTCAAATATTTAAGGAAAAAACTAATAATAATAGAATGTGTCTTTTAATGTATGGGGTTGCATTCCTAATACTTCAAGGATATCACTTTTTAATGAGCATTTGAGTATCGAATCATTGCCAGTTTCACATGCTCTTCCTTCTTGATCAACTAAAAATAGTAATATTTGATTGAAATAGTGAATATGTACAACTCTTCACGACCTTTCCAAACCTAGACCAACATTAATAGACCCATCAGAGGGACTAAGATTTTACATTCATTTAAAAGTCCTTTACCAAGTATCCTGAGCCAGGTCACAGGGGCATAAAAATAGAACTGACAGACTGTACTCCAGTGTGGGCAGCTACAACAAGGTATCTACAAAGTGCTCTTATTAATATCTACTAGGAGCCCTGAGGGTCCCTCTCTAAGGAGATAGTTCAGGCGTCACGGGAGAGGCTGAGTAGAGTCGTAACAAGAAGGGGCAGTGGGTGCCAAGAAATGGAGACATGAAGAAATTTGTGGACCCTATTTCCAGGGACAAGCTTGGTACAATGCTAAATGCAAAACCTGAGCTGTCAAATTGCTGTGCTCTGTGTGCAAAGTTTGCTCTGTAGTGACGTTTGCACTGTCAGTTGGTTTCTGTTATAGCTCATACAGCACTTTTTGTGCTCCTGCCAGGGCTGTCACCACAGAAGCTATCCATCTGGCAACCTCTTGATAAAGTCTTCGTACTGAGATCCTAAGCCTTGAATTAATGAATATTTGATTTTTCTAGTTGTGGATTTGTTTCAGTGGCATTCAGAGACAGGATGGGCAGACTCTGCTTCCCTTCGAGAGGTGCTGGGGTCTACCACTGTCATTTCTCAAAGCAGCATTAAATCGCCCAGTCTGGCCTGGTACTTGCACTGCCGGGAACCAACTGCTTTCTGTTCCTTTCAGCAGGGCCTTTCCTTGGCACAAGCGGTTCCTCATGGGGCCCTGGCCCAGACTGCGGTGCGGCATCAGTGCTGTCTTCAACAGGTGGCATGCAGCACGGAGACAGGCTGTGGCTCAGCATGTTTAAGTGGATAAGTAGGACAGAGAAATAATTTACTATCACGATTCTTTGGGCCCTTTAGTGTTTATACTCCTCATGTCTACCAGCTCATTTTATTTGCTTGAAAGGCAAGCATGATGATGGAATCTCCTGGAATTCACCTTTGAATGTGTTCTATTCAGGATGCCTTTAAAAATCTGCATGTCTATCCTCTTCTTCTTTTTATTATTTTCTCAGGGCAGTAACCTTTACAGAAGCCAGTATTGAGGCTTTTATATAAGGTGGGGAATTATGTGAAAACATGAATGGAGTCAGGAATAGTCCAATGACAGAGTCCTCTATCCTTCTAGGTATACTGGTCCTTTGATGTTTTGGGGGTGCCTAATGTCCATTCTCACTCCTGAAAGCAGCCTGATTCCTCTGGTGACCTACTGTTTTCATGTAGGCTTCAGGAGGCAGAAAACTCAGGCTCTTGATTCCCATAGAGAGGATAAAAGCACACCCAGAAAATGAGCTACAACCTACCACCTACTTACAAATAAGCCCACTCACTTAGATGGTTCCTCCTACGAGCTGGAGGAAGCGTTCTAAGCCAAGCCTGCGTTATGGTAGCATAAGCACCGTGAGCCAAGTCCAGGCTGCCTGGGGACACCTGTACCCCCCGCTATTCTTCCATACTCTATCTCCAATAGTGTAGGAGACCTTTATTTTACTTCTAAAAAGTGAGCTTAGCTGATCTTGTTTCTTTAGAAAACTTTACTGTACTTCAGATGGTGACCTATGAGACTGTTCCTAAATCTGAAATTAGACTAAGTTCCTAGAGCCCATTTTTCAACCCGTTGAGAGATAACTCGTTAAGAAAAGTGTGCCTTCTCAGCTTTCTTTCTAATTGCCAGTAACATTTTTTGGTACTATTTTTTGTAGACTTATATTCAATGAAAGTGAAGAACAATAAAGGGTGGTTATACGGTTAATAAATATGGACACAAAATTAGGATTTAAAAAAACAGGTTTTTGGCCGGGCGCGGTGGCTCACGCCTGTAATCCTAGCACTCTGGGAGGCCGAGGTGGGCGGATTGCTCGAGGTCAGGAGTTCAAAACCAGCCTGAGCAAGAGCGAGACCCCGTCTCTACTATAAATAGAAAGAAATTAATTGGCCAACTAATAGATATAGAAAAAAACTAGCCGGGCATGGTGGCGCATGCCTGTAGTCCCAGCTTCTCGGGAGACTGAGGC